AGAGGAGACTGAAAGCCCTATATAGAGTCACTGTGAGTCGGAATGACCTAGACCAGTGGTTCTCAACCTTCCTAATGCCGCCACCCTTTCATACAGTTCCTCATGTGGTGGTGACCCCACCCCCAACCATAACATTATTTTCGTTGCTACTTCATCACTGTCATTTTGCTCCTGTTATGAATCAGGCGACCCCTGTGAAAGGATCGTTGGACCCCCCAAAGGGGTCGCGACCCACAGGTTGAGCACCACTGCCCTAGATGGTAGTGGTGTTATCTATTGACCCAGACTGCCACAGCTTTCTCCCCCGTTGGTGACCTTTTGGTTAGCAGCCCGGGGTGCCACCAATGTGCCATAGGGCCGCTTAGGCCAGAGAAAGGGGGGTGAAAGTGGCCTCTTTGCAAAATTCCGAAGGACTTTCTGCAGCGGAGGTATTCATGTATAGAAGCCACCTACATGGTTCGGAGGGAGGAACTGGGCTAGCGGAGAGTTACTGGAGGCAGCTTAAGGTCCAAGAAAGCAAGACCCGTGTCTTTTGTTCTCAGGCATTTTCCCAATGCCTACAGTACTGGCTGGCATATGGCAGGCGTCCACTTACTATTTATTAATAAGTGGATAAGTCCCAGATTCAGGCAATTTAATAAGCACTTGCCACCACCCGGTTAAAGTACTTCATACTTGAAGCATCCTTACGAGAAGGTCTTCTTCCCATTTGCAGAGGCCAGCTCTGCAGAGCCAGGTCACCCTGGCGTGAGCTGCTCTGTGAGGTGGTAAAGTTCTGGGTCTCTATGAATGGGAAGCCACTGGATGGCTGCGAGTTTCGGTTTGCAGTGTCTTTTCCAATCCGGAACGCCTGTTCCTCATGTTCCCCCTTTTCCTTCCCATCATTTTCCCAACTAAGCCCAGTCTGGGGTCAATTTAAATGAGGAACAAGATGTTTGAGGAAATATAAGTGTGTTCTTATCAGGGGTTCTTGCATTTGGGCCAGGAAAAAGAAATGGTTTGCAGGTTGACTAGTTTTTCCCAATGGGTGTAGCTTCTTCACATGGAAGCTATGATCCATTCATTTCCTCAGCCTCCAGGAAAAGTTCGTAGGAGTAGCGATCAGGCCTTAATTGCTGTCATTCATTTGCTAGAAGCTAAAGTTCACTTTTTCATAGGGAGGGGAAGACAAACCCTTCCCCAGTTCCCTGCCAGGTGGAGGGAGAGCGTGATTGGAAGGTTGAAATTAGTAGGGCAAGGGTGGGGCCACATGTAGGGAGACCACTGTTCATAATAACTGCTATGGCGAATGTGTGCATTCATAAGAAGACCTTCTGCGTCGTTGAGCCTCCTCTGACCCTTTCAGTAGGAAGGGATTGTTGTAGTTTTACAAATCAGAAAAGTGAAGTTCAAAAGAAATTGGAGTCACTTGCGGAGTCAAATGGCTCGTGAGGAACAGCCAGGATTGGATCGGTTTGTTCAACACATGTGTTTAGAGTGTTTTTAATCGTAGGTGGTGGTCACTGTTCTAGACACTAGTGATAATCCAGAGGACAAAACACACAGAAGCATTCCGGTTCTTCTTTGTAACTTTGCTTCTCCTGACTCGAAGTCCAGGGTTGATGAGATTTTGTTGGTTAGAAACTGCCTTTTCTATTTCCTCTGTGACCACATCTTGTATTACTTTCTTTCTCCCTTAATCAACCCCAACTGCGCTGGCCTCATGGCCTTGGTACTTACTGTTCCTTCTGCCCGGAGTGCTCTTTCTTGCTAATGGCAGTGTTGACAGTTCAAATCCACTAGCCACTCCTCAGGAGAAAGATGAGGCTGTCTGCTCCCATGAAGATTTTCGGCTTCAGAACCTCTAAATTGAGTCAGTGTGAGTTAGAATTGACTCAGTGACCGTGAATTTATTTTGCTTGGAACTTCAGTCGTATTTGTTTACTACTCAGAAAAATGACTTGATTCATATGAGAACTATCACATCGTCCTTTACAGCTTACAGACGACCCAGTTGTCACTGCTGTGTGACAAACCACTCCAAAACTTGGTGGTGTCAAACAGCAGTGGTTAGGCTCCTGAACTCTGTGGACCAGGATTTTGGACGAGGCATAGTAAGAGATAGTTTGTTTCTGCTCCACTGTGTCTGGAGCTAATTCGGGGTGACCCCAAAACAGAGACTGATACTATTGGAAGGGGTCTTCACGTGTCTGGCAGTCGATGCTGATTTTCAGCAGGGACATCTACCTGTGGCCTGGGCTCATGCAACATCTACATGTTGTACAGCATGGCGGCTGGGTTCCAGGAGTGAGCATCTCAAGAGACAGGATGAGGAAGAAGCGGCTGGTTTCTAAGGCCTGGGCCTGCCAACTGGCATGGCGTCATGTCTACAGTGTTCTGTTGGCAAAGCAGGTGCGGAACCTAAAGGAAGGGATGTGGATCCTTGTCTGATGGGAGAAACTTCTGAGGATTCTGGGACTTTATTGCAAAACTAAGAGCCCTGTCATTGATTGCAATCCCCACAATGTAACATCACTCATCCACTTTTGCTTGTATTTCCTGTTTCCATTCCTCCCGTCCATCCCTTCCTTCCTTCTGCCAACCTTGTCCTTGGGCAGATGCTGCCCTTTTGTTCTGGGAGTGCACTTACCTCCTGCTAGTTCTTTTCCTTCTTAGAGAGCTATTGTGTGGCTGAAAATTGAGAGTTCATTTCCAGACCTTGAGGGGACTCAAGGCCCTACCCTCAGGGGTTCGAGCTAAAAACTATTGTAAACAAACAAACAAAATGTTCTCCTCTTGTGAGGCAGTGGTAGACTAGAAATCCTAGAAGGAGCATATGGGGTAAATAGAATGGAACCAGAAAACCTGGAAGCCTCTTCAATGAATTGTCCAGTTCAGAGATTCTTTTACCTGCTCTTCAGGATAAGCTTCCGGGGGTTGGCGGACACCTGGACGTTTACTTGTGAAATTCTGTTTGTACGTGCATTTCTCTGTCTAGTCCCTTCACTCTGATACCATTTTCTAAAAGAGCCAGGGCCTTAGGAAGGGTAGGAAGCATTGATCTAGCCAAACCCTTTTACTTTTCAGATGGAATTGAGACTCAGAAATATTAAGCTATTTGCCAAAGGCCTCTAGCAAATTAGGGGGGCCAGAGGCAGGTTTTGGGGCTCAGGATATGGTACTCTTTGCTTGTTTGCTGTCACCCTGAGGCCTGCTTCAGTCCAAGGCCTGAGGAGTAGTCTGTATTTTGTGCTGCAAGGTTAGATAGACGAGTATCTCCCTAACTAGAATCTAAGCTCCCTGAAAGCCAGGGATGGGGATCTTGTCTGTTGTGTTGTTCTGTGGTGGCTTGTGTGTCGAGACCAGCACCTGGCACATAGTAGGCGTTCAGTAAAGAGGTGGTGAATGAGGAAGTGACTGGATTGTGGCAGGAAACGTGCCTCATTCACCTTTTATTCCCGATGCCTAGCTCCGTGGTTGGTGCAGACTGGCTGCTCGTGACATTCACCCGAGTTTAATTAATGGAAACCCGTATGAGGTTGCCGGCATCATGAGAATCTTCTTAGTCTGTTACCTTAACATTGTGTAGCTGGGTAGCAGTTAAACACCGAGGGTGTTGGCTTATGCGGGACTGTCTTTATCAGTATCCACGTTAATAATGGCTCTTAGTAATAGTGCCTTAGGATCACGTGACGCGGATTTGGAAGGAACTTTGTGTAGCCGTCTCGATCGGACCCTTTTTGTTTTACAGTGATAGAAACTGAAGCCAAGAAAGGGTCGATGATTAACCGCCATCCTTCAGCCAACCAGAAACCGGAGACAGTTGTCCTTGTTCTCAAGTTTAGATCCCAATGTAGTAAAAATGAAACCACTCGAGACTCCTTAAGAAGTATGTGGTGCACTGAATTTTACAACTAGCATGGTTAAGCTGGTGTATGTTTTCCTGTATGTATCTTCAACAATAAAAACAACATAAAATTAATAAAAGAGGGGGAAAAAGTATGTGGTGTTTTTAAAAATGAAAGAGCAATTTCTAGGAAGGCTATCGTAGCATGCCACAAGCTTTGCTCTAGTCTCTGTCATGAGAAAGCATGCTTGTCTTCCTTAAAGATCTTTAGGGACTGTCTTCGGGCAGAGGGAACACCCTTCAGTGCAGACCAGCCTCTTACCACTTGTGGTGAAATGTTGGGCGGGAGCCATATCAAGAATAATGGGGATAACTCAGCACGGAAGTTTCCAAGCTTGCTTTGATCATGTACTCCTTTCAGTAAAATGATTTTGA